CCCATCAACAATAAAACACCCTCTTCACTGTGCAAACTATTTGCAACAATGTGCTTGGTGTGTGCTTCCTGGGGGTCGGGAGCCATGGGGTGAGGGTGCCTATTGGGCAGAGCCTGGGGACAGGCAACCAGCATCCCAGCCTCTGGTTGTTCCCCTGGGCGTGTGTATGCCATGGTGAGCCCGATGGGTAGGGGGCTTACCCAGGGGGGATAGTGGTTGGTGGTCCCCCGGCATGGGTGGCTCCCCCTCTGGCAGCCGGTGTCCAGGGCCAGCAAGGCCAGTGTGCAGTCCCATTGCACGCAGCTCCGGCTTCATGCCTGCATGAAGCCAGGGTGAGTAGCGGCCCTGGGCCCCAGTGAGGGGCTGGGTGGCAGGGAACCTGGGAGAGGGCCAGGCCAGGGGCTTCTGGCTGCTGGAGGTGGCACATGACCTCCTTCTAGACCCATGAAGGGCCTGCTTCTGGGCAGTGGGTGGCTGCCAGAAGGCAGGCAGGGATAGGGCTGGGGGCCAGGTAGTGGGTGGCATGAAGGTGACTGCCACCACCAGAATGGTGTCCAGCACCTGGCGGTCATTGTCCATGGCCTGCAGTACCCAGGACAAGATCATATTCTGCTCCCACAGCTCCTCCACCCGCTCACAATTCAGAGCCAGGAGCTGGGCCCAGAACTCCTGGTCTACCCGGTCCCACACCTCCTTGCACTGGTCCCATGCATCCTCATGGGCAACATCCTCTGTATGCCAGACCCATACATCCTCCAGCTGGTCCTCCAATGCCATCACCAGCCAGTCCTGGAGGATGTTGTGGTCCTGGGTCCATCTCTGGTGGAGCCAGTGCATCTGTAGAGCCCCAGCTGTGGGTGGCAGTGACCTGAGCCCACATCCTAGCTGCCAAGTGTGGCCTCTCCTCCACATGCAGCTGCAGGACCTGCAGAGCCATGAGACAAGCTGGCTGTGAGAGTTGGCAGCATTTCAGAGATAAGATGCTCTGTACCAGAAGCCATGTGCTGCCTGGCCTCAGATCAGGGGTTGGGCGTGCACAGGTACCCAGGGGCCATTGTAATTCAGCCTGGCAGGCCTGGGCTCAGATGTTCCCACTTGCTCACCAGGGGCAGGTAGGCCGCTAGGTGCTGCCTGAAGACAGCTTGCCTCCCCCGCCCTGTTTCCAGGCCAGGACAGACCAGGCTTCTGCCAGCACCTGCTGCCAAGCCTCCAGGTTCTGCTCCCCCACTTTCTCCTACAAGCCAACCACTCTCTGTGCTGCCACCCAGCCCCTGTTGCCTGGGCTCATGAGGTACGGGGCTCCCAGATGTCTGGGACAAGGAGCTGCCTGTGCTCCCACCTCAAGGGGCCTCTCCAGGGAGGTGCCCTGCCAGGCCCCCACCAAACCACTGCTGCGCCCTGAGCATGCCCCTGCTGCATGTGCCCTGGGCAATGCGCAATGAGCTGTATGTGTGGACTGAGGGGTGCCCAATCCACTACACCCTGCTGCTGCTGATCCTCATGGTGCCTTGGGTGCACCTGCACACTTGGCACAGGACTGTGAGCTATGATGGTGTGGGGGTCAAGCTCGGGCTGCCCCACAACCTCTGCCACCTTATACAGACTCTAGCTTCCTGAAGGGTTACCTGTGGCTATGTAACACATCCCTGTCCCCTCCCACAGCCAAGAAGGACATCGCCAAAAGCATCAACAAATTCCTCGGTGTGTGAGAGGCCCATGGCTACCTAGCTGCAGGGGCATGGGCTGCTCAATAAAGTTTTGCACTGTCTCCTGCCTCCTTGCATGCTGTGGAGGGGAAACCCAGGGCTAAGGGAGTGTGGGTGGGCTGGGTGGGGAGCGAGGGCAGGGGCAGGAGTCAAGGCCAGGGTGGGGATTCCCCCCAGTGCAGGACTTACCACATAGCCAGGGCTGACTTGGCCGGCAGCTCTGCTTGGTCCTGCCTGATGATGATGGCATGCAGTTCCGGGCAGTGTCCTCAGACAGCAGGGCACAGTGTGTAGGCACCCAGCTGGGCCACCCCCTGGGGAGAGTGCTCCTGGCACCTGGCAGTGACATGGCTGGGGCTGAGGATGTGGAGCTGTCAGGGCAGGTGCTGGCCCAGGCTCCCCAAGCTGCTGGTGGAGGCTGCAGGCAGGGAGCTCAGCAGGATAGACTGCTGCAAGCTGGAAGGGCCTTCCTCCAGTGATGTGTCACTGTGGGTGCCAGGCCAGGGTGGGGGCTCAGGCAGGCTGCACATGCTGCTGTAGATAGCATGGCTATGGCATGGGTCTCAGGGCACAAAGATGGCTGCCAGTTGCGAGAAATAGGGCATAGACTTGCGGGCACTCCTTGACCAACAATTGTTGTTGGTCATGGTGACCAACTGTGCCTGGAAGGCCTTGACATTCATGTGGCACTGCCACACTGACCACTCATGCCTGCGCTTCCACATCCAGCCTCTGACAGCCCCTCAGAGACAAGGGTGTTGAAGCACGCACCCTGTGTGAACTGGTACTACACCTCTGCCTCACCCCACAGCACCACGAGGTCACCAGTGTCCTTCATGGACAGCTGGATGGCCGAGACAATGCCCCACTGCATGTGCAGGTTCAGGGCAGGCTGCTGAGGGTGGGCTGCAGGCAGCTGGAGCTAGCTCAGGCAGCCAGAAGCTGCCTGCAGCTGGGACTGGGTGCTGGCAAGCCTGGCAACAGCCTGCAGCAGCCTACAACACCCTGCAGGTCTGGATGATGTGAACCTCGCAGCTGCGTGGCACTGCAGTACCAGGCAGTGGCGCCAGGGTGCAAGCAGGCTGGCACAGCTAGGCTGCGGCCTGCCCAGGGGAACACAGGGGCCTGAAGTGGCTTCAGGCTTCCTGCTTGTGTGCCCCAGGGCTCAAAATGCCTGCAGGCTTTTAAAAGGCCTGAGGTAGGGACTGCCATAGAGGCAGCCCAGCCCTGGGGCAGGCCTCCAAGTGGCAGGGCTGACCAAAAGCAGATTCGCTCCTAGTTGGCGTCTACACATGCATTACTCTGCAGTAATTAATTGTGAGCAAATTTACTCGTGATTGGCATCATTTACATGCCGTGCACAGTTATGCTGTGCAGAACTGTGTGTACATGTAGATGTGTGCACTTAATGCTTAGTAAACTATGCTACTGTACACTTAAGTGTCTCGTGTAAACATGTCCACTGAGTATGCTGATCTAACCAGTTACGTATTCATCCCACAGTACTTTCATCTAGTCTGTATTTCTTTAGCTTCTAAATGAGACTGTTATGAGAGCCATTGTCAAAAATCTTGCTAAAGTCAAGGTATATTACATCCACCACTGTCCCCCCATCCACAGATCATGTCACTTTACCACAGAAGGAAATCAGGTTGGTCAGGCAGGCCTTGCTTATGGTGAATCCATGCTGGGTGTTCCTGGGCACCTCTCTCCTAGGTTCTTCACAATGGATTCCTTGAAACCTGCTCCAAGATCTTTCCAGGTATAGAGGCCAGGCTGACTGGGCTGTAGTTCCCTGGATCTTCCTTCTTCCCCTTCTTAAAGACATCTCTATGTTTGTCTTCTTCCAGTTTTGCAGGACCTCCCCTGACCTCCACAAGTTAAAGAGGATGGCCAACAGCTCCAAGGAGTGCATCCCATCTGGACCTGCTGACTTGAAAGCATCTAGCTTCTCTAAGTAGTCCCAAATTTGTTTTGCCATTACTCTCAGTTGTTGTCTCCTTCCCTATCTTTATTGTTGCTTGACTTAATTTTAATATGGATTTTATACCAACACTAGCCTCAAAAGTTCAGCAACAAGCTACCCCTGTTTTATATCTTTACAGTAAGTCAACTCCATTCAATTTTTGTACCAAATTTTCACAACTAGTGGCTGAAGTGATATTCCTAAACTCTTGTTAATATCCACAGGCATCCATTCAAGTATGCTTATCTTTTTTTAATATAAGCATATTTGTGGTTGCACACCGGGGGCAGGATGTGTCTGAGAATCTGCCGGTCACAAGTTTAGGGCCTCAAAACAATCTTTGCATTCTCCAAGAGTTTGGCTAGGTTCAGTGCCTTTGGTCTGCTCTCCTCTACCTTCAGCGTTTGATTCTGTTTCTGTCCTGATGATTATCATATGCTGACCCTCAGAGTTCCAGTCATGACCAGTTCTGATGCTCATCTCCTCCCTGCCTCAACACGTATGCACCAATTTATTTCAAAATAATAAATATATGGAAAAATGATTCATAAAGAACAAATTATGTCCTTCACAATTCCTTAAAGGGCAACATTACTTCCTCCCAGTGTACTTTCAAAGGGACTTAGCTTGTAGCTGCCAGTTAGGGTGAGTTTTTAAACCAAGTAGATTAAACCAGAGTAAGAGGCTTCACACAGTTGCTGTATAGACTAAAAACAGTATAAGCTAGGAAGGACTAAAAACATGTAGATGCTCATTTCAGCTAAACTGCCTCTCTATTGTTAAAGCTGAAATATGAATTTAGAGGGAGAGTGCACCAGTTTAACTAAAGCTTCTGAGTGCATAGCTTTACTCATAGGGCCATAGTGTATCTGACCAGGAAGGACTTGGCTGGATGTTCTTCAGTGAAAAGTTTCACAAGTGAGGGCCCAGGACTGTGAAAGCCCCAACCTCATCCTAGGCTGCCTGGACTGCCTAGGCCAAACCTAGGTAGTGAGGGCTGGATGCTCTGCTTAGTTGTAACTGTCAAGTATGGAAATAAACCAGAAAAGTTCACTGGAGATCTTCTGGCCTAGATTAGAAGAAGCTTTAAAGAGAAAGGCTTGAAACTGTAACTTCCTTTCTTGGATTTTTTTTTCCTATAGTCTCATAATTCAAACAAAAGTGTTTTTAATACCTAGTTTTCACAGCAATGTCCACATTTCTTTTACTAACCTACAGAAACAGTCATCTGAGGGATTTTGCATTAACTTGAAATTGTTTTCTCATGAAAATTACATTTCTTTTCCTTTCAATGCATAACCTGTAAATATTTGGGAAAAGTTACTTACTTCCTTTCTTCTAGCAGTGCAATTTCCTTTTTGACTTCATGGTATTCTTCTGCTATTTTGCAGTGCTGTTTATACACCTGCATAGATTCCTTAGAGTCATGGCAAGGTGGCAGGGGCTTCATAAACAGAAGAAGAAAAAAATAATCAAATGGTTCTGCATGTGAAAGAAATATTACCATTATAATCTTGGCTGTTTAAAAATCATGATGCAATTAGTGGTTTCAATCCTGTTGTCTTTACTTGGGGAAAACGTCTGTTGAATCATAAGAACTGTAGGACCAGACCCATTGTTCTTAATGAAGAATTTTCACACTAAGGAAAGCTTCTCATTTATCAAATGTAGATGCACACCTTTGGGATCTTTTAAGTATTTTCATAATTTCTCTTGCCATCTTTTCAAACTGATAGTGAGATCTGTGTTACACCACAAAAAGGATGGCAATCGCTTGTTCTCCAGATCTTCTGGGGACATGGTAAGAAGAATGGGCTTAAATTGCACCAAGGAAATCTTAGGGTAGATATTAAGAAGACCTTTCTAACTCCAGGTGGTTAAGCACTGAAACAGATTACTGAGCGGCTGTGGAATTTCCATCACCGGAAGCTTTTAAGTGCAGGTTAGACAAACATTCATCTGGGATAGTTTAGAAAGGACTGATCCTTTCTTGAGCTGGAGGTTGGACAAAATGACCTCTTGGGGTCCCTTCCAGCCCCAGTTCTAATGGCTACAGGACTAATGAAACAACATATTTTGATTATTTTTGCCCAGTTTGTTGTGTTTTATATACTTTATATATAACATAGAAAAATGAGTGCACATTCCAATGAGGTTATATTTGTTTTTGCTTTGATCTTAAACTAAATAATATATATCCCGATGCCCCTAGCATATTCGTAAAGCTTATATTTTCTTTTTAACTGGAGATACATGTTTGTTGTGTTTTATGGGATGCTGCACTACATCATCTGCACCCTCCTTTTCAAAATCTTGATTGGCCCATGGAGTCATATAAAGGTTAATTCACTAGCATTTGTAAAATGTTTTTATTTCCTGTGGTGGGATGCCCTGTAGAGCTGTATAAGTAAGAAGACAATTAAAGCACTTTGAGAGTATCCAGATACTGGGAACCTAGTGTTTATTACTGAAGAGAGTGAAAGTTTAGTTGCTGACTTCATTGTGTACAAACCCTAAATGAATATAGCAAGCTGTTTAAACAAATGTAAACTTTGGAAAGCCATAGTAGCCATAGCCATAGCCATAGCCATAGCCATAGCCAAAAATGCTCCATTCTGAGATTCCTCAAATTATTTACATTTAATGTCTTGAGAGCACAGTTGTGTTAGTTGTCTGGGTTTTTTTGTAATTTTTAAAAAAAGAAATAAAAAACTTAATTCAGACCTTACAGCTGAGTAATACTTCCATATGAAATATGAAAGTGCTTTCATACATAACATGTTAAAATTAGTAGTCATGAATCAACTGAGTATAAAGGAACTTTATATAGCATGGCCACCAACAAAAACATCTTCTACTCCCCAGAAAAGAACATCTGATCGCCCCCTGAAATCAAAATCAAGCAATCTTTACCTTGCACAGATCTGTTTTGATTCTTCTGCTTGAACATAATATACTTTCAGTGACTATGACAAGATTGGGACAGAACTAGCACTTGGGACCTTTCCTCCTTCTGGTTGTGCAATCCTTTGCTATGGTCACAAAGTGCAATTTTGTTTAAATCTATTTCTAGAGAGAGGACAAAAGTGATTGTATTTAACAGCTGGTGTCAGTCTCTTTCAGCACAAAAATGCTTCCTGTGCCATGGGCATTCGGAATGCACTGTGTTAGGTAGCCTTTACAGAAATGTCGATGAACATATATCCATTCCCAATATAACGTGGGGTTCTGGGTGATTAAATCAGGATACTTCTCATAATGCTGTGGCCAAGTTGTTTTCAGGACACAGCTTGGAACACAGGAGAGGTCAGGGCCTTGGAGAATGAGCTCCCCATTCCTCAGCAATGATGGTTCCTGGGAAAGGGATCTTAACTGCATTTCAGTGTGGGTGAGCCATAGCACCATCCGTGTCTCCACGCAAATAATCCGCATAAATTTAACAAGTCAAAATATAAACAATGCAGACCTCTATTCCAACAATGTGAGGGAGAGCCAAAGTAGCATCTCTGGCATCCACCAGAATAAGCAGTACACTGTAGACTCCTCAAAGCACTCTTTGAGAAGTGTTCTGTGGGAAAGCCCCTAACCAATGAGCCTGAAAAAGAAGATACTCAGGTGCTTTTCCTTCCAGTTTAGCTTCTTCAAATCTAGCTAGCTGAAACCAGTTTAAGAATTAAAGCAGCACTTTCTCTATCCCAGCTTCCCACGCAAAAGATATATTTGGAGAGCTAAAAATTATCTGGTCATGTTGAGACTTCATATCTATTTCTTGCTTAGAACCAGCTGCTGACTCAACTCCCTCCCCTAATTGTTCCCTGTCCAGAGCATCATTTTTTCCTAAAATGACATTTTAAGTTAACCGTGCAAAATAAATCAACAACAATTTGAAACACCTTGTAAAAGGTCTACTATTCGCAAGCTTCATACACAGGAGATTGTAGAATGAAATGCAATACAAACATAACACTCTTTTGAGTCCTTAGAACCAAGAGGCAACATCCAGATCCTGTCCCTTTGTGCCCATTCCTTCAATTCTAAGGGAGTCTCTTCTGGTGGGTACAAATGTCCAAGGTTTGATGTTTGCAGAAAGTCCCTTATGACATAGGGTCTGCTCTGAGTCTACCGTCTGAGGACTTCTTAGAGAGAAAAAATTGAAACTATTATTAAAGCTGAGGTTCCACAGAAGATAGAGGTGAAGAGTTGTTATCTCATCTACCTTCTCTTCCCCTTCTCCCCCCGACCCCCATTAACAGCTTCTAAAATTTCCATTATTTTTCTCCTGCAAGTTCCTTATGAAATCCTTGCATAAGTATTATTTTATAACAAAACTGTTCTTCCATAGGCACAGGAGAAGCAAAAGGAATAATGTTCCCCACTTCAATACATCTTTCTTGATCCTGAAATGGACATGAATTAAATACAGTATTTCAGATGCCTCCAACAAAGTGTCCCTATCATACCTCAACTCTCCCAGAAAAAAACAGAAAAAAAAGGAATGGGGATGCCTGGGACATGTATTTCTTAGTTTGGAAGTCTATACACTATTATATTTTGTAATGGTTTGTTATTTTTCTGTCGCTACTCATTATCCTCAGTGAACGCCAGTGCCTGCATAAAGTCAGTTTTCAGAATTCAGTTCTATGTTACAAGTCCAACAAGCATACGTCAGTTTATTCTCAATATAGCAACTCTTTATTTCCCCATAACCTCCCTCATCCATTTAAAAGGCAACTTATATTAAAAGTATATCTACACAGGCAAAAAAGCTCCTGCCAAAAGAAAGATATATTTAAAGGCAACAACTGCCAACATTTAATCCTGCTTATTTCAGGGCTCCATATCATCCATCCCCACTTCCCTATGCTGGCAAAATATGTGCTCACAGCCTCTCTGAACAGTTCACAAATCTAGCATTAAAGTCACACCTCAGGTGCTGCTGCTTGTCTGGCCATCTGTACCTAATTTGCTACAAGGTCTAAAGCTTCTCTATACCTCCTTTGGGATTTCACAAACTTTGCATAGAATACAGAAAAAGGCAATTGCACTTCCACATACTAGAACGGATTGTCCCACGACTGAGTGTCCACAGGCACCTCCGTGAGGACATCTATCCTCTTGGTTTAAGTCTGTCTATAGGGAGCTCCTGGGAGAGGACTCCAGAATGAAACTCTGTGGGGTAGGTCCAGAGCATTTGATCATAGTGCCAGGCAGCACTCTACTGAAACATGCCATACCATATCTATGGGTGTGTCCAGATGAGTGCGTATGTGCCTGCTGCTGCATCTCAAAGCAGTTTGAGATGCTACAAGAGGCACACTGGGACCCAAAAAATTGATACTGGGAAATCCTAGCATCAAAAAAAAACCCTGACTGAAAAAAAGCGGCACAAGGCACACTCTTGGAATGTGCTCTGAAGCAACTGGAGGCTGGGTCCTCCAAGGAACCCGGCCAAAGTGTCTCTATGGCTGCCCTCTTCCCTTGCTGCCCCAGCATGCTGCCTCTGTGCTGTGGGGGTGGGGGGTGGGGATTGTGTGTTGGGGGCGCTGGGTGTGGGGGGGGACTGCTCAGGAGGGGTGGACCCTCCCCCTCCCCGGCGCCAGCAGCAGCACCAGTGGCCGTCGGGCGGTCATGGCCTGCTGCTGGCAGAGCCCCCCTGCGGTGTGGCATGTCCCTGGCTGCCTGTTGCTGCTTGACCCGTGGTCTGTACATGCCGAATGGACCTGGAATGGCCCGGCCTCTCCTGCTAGCGCACCTTTGCCCAAGACCAGGATGGCTCCTGCCACCACCTGCAGCTCCTGTCCAAAGACATGCTAGCAGGAGGCCAGGCTGGGTTTGGGCCAGGTCCATTTGGCGTGGTACAGACTGCAGGTCAGGCAGCGCTGCACCACCGTGGGACTGCGCCTGCAGCAGGCCATGACTACCCTGATGGCCCAGCTGGCTGCTGCTGCCCTGGCCAGTGGCTGTGCCCTGCAGGGGGAGATAGGGGGCAGGCATGTGGTGACTTCCATTCAAACTCCCCCAACAAACCCCACACCCACAGCCCCCATCCCCTCACATCCCCCCCACACACTCCACACCCTCACCCCCCTGCCAGAAACCATGCAGTCCCCCCACCCCAATATCCCTGCTTGCCTGGGTCTGGGTCACACTGCAGATTTGGCCCGCTCCTATTTCCTCTGCATGCTGGAGCAACAGGGACACCACAGAGATGCTCTGGCTGGATGCCAGAGTATCTCTCTTGAGGACTCAGCCTCCAGTTGCCCCAGTACCACTTTTTCACTCAGCCTCCAGCACACCCTGCACCACTTTTTTCCACGTGGGGTTTTTTTTAATACCAGGATTTCCCCATATCGAATTTAGAGCCCTCGCTGTGGCACACTTTTTCATTCTTAGTGTGCCTCTTGCGGCATCTCAAACTGCTTTCACAACAGGCATATGCGCACT